TAGCGATGTGGATCATTTTTTCATATATTTATTCGCTTCTTTAATTTCTTCCTCTGAGAAGTGTGTGTTCATCTCGGATGCCCATTTCTGGATTGGGTCTTTAAATTTTGGGGCCCTGGTGTTTTTTAGTTCTTTATAGTTTTTAGAGAGCAAACCTTTGTCTGAGTACTTATTTGTCATGACTTTTTCCAAAATTTTGGGTTGCTTTTTCACTTTGTTGGTAATTTCTTTTGACGTGAAAAAACTTCTGAGTAAGAGCAGGTCCCAGTTGTTAAGTCTTTCAACTGTTACTTGTGCGATTTGATTTCTGTCCATGAACTCTTTGCCTACCCCTATGTCTTCAAGAGTTCCTCTTACTTTCTCCCCTAGGAGATTTAGTGTCTCTGTTTTAATATTTAGATCCTTAATCCATTTTCACTTTAGTTTAGTGCATGGTGATAGATCTGGGTCAAGTTTGGGTTTTCGGCATGTAGAGAGCCAGTTTTTTCAGCACCATTTGTTAAAGAGGCTATCTTTCTTCCAGTGAGTATGTTTGGCCACTTTGTCAAAGATAAGGTGGCTGAGTGTGTTCGTAGGGGCTTCAGTGTCTTCTAATCTATTCCATTGATCCTCAGGTCTATTTTGATACCAGTGTCATGCTGATTTTATCACAGTAGCCTTGTAGTATAATTTCAAGTCAGGAATTGTAAGCCTCCTGCCTTGTCTTTATTCCCCAGAATTGCCTTTGCTATTCTAGGTCTTTTCCAGTTCCAGATATATTTTAGGAATGATTTCTATAAGTCTGTTAGGTATGTCCGTGGTAGTCTGATAGGGATTGCATTAAATCTGTACAGCAATTTTAGAGTACGGCCATCTTCACTATGTTGGTTCTTCCTATCCAGGATCATGGAATATCTTTCCATTTTCTGAAATCCGTTATAATCTCTTTTTGAAGATTACTGTAATTTTCATTGAAAAGATCTTTGACTTCTTTAGTTAGGTTAATTCCAAGGTATTTCATTTTCCTCGGTGCTATTGGAAAAGGTATTGTTTCCATAATTTCCTTCTCAATTAGGGAATTATTTCCCTCTGTGTAGAGAAATGCTACTGACTTTTGGGTATTGACTTTATAACCTGCTATGCTACTGAATTTCTGTATTAATTCTAGGAGCTTCTTGGTGGAGATTTTTGGGTCTTTTAAGTAAAGTATCATGTCATGTGTAAATAAAGATAATTTAATTTCTTTTTTGCCTATTTTTATTCAGTTTATTTCTTTCTCTTGTCTAATGGTGGTAGCTAATGATTCCAGAACTATATTGAATAGGAATGGAGATAGAGGACTTCCTTGTCTTCCTCCAGATCTAAGCGTAAAAGATTTCAGGTTTCCCCATTTAGGATTATGTTAGCTGTTGGGCTTTCATAAATGGCTTTTACCTGATTGAAGTAGAGGCCATCTATTCCAATTTTTTGTAGGACTTTGAACATGAATGAGAGTTGGATTTGTCAAAAGTCTTTTCTGCATCAATGGAGATGATCATGTGGTTTTTAGTTTTCCTCTATTGATATA